TGCGATTTGACACGTACATGTCGTAGGGCAAAGCATATTGTGGATTTCTACAAAAAATCAATCAAGAGATAAGTGAAGACAAATTTTATTGATTATTATGATCCAATTGATGTGATTCATTTGGATATCTCTGATTTCTTTGCTGATCCAAATAAGAATATCAATCATTCGATTGTGGATGGTGTGATGAAAGATATAGATTAATTTACTTTCTAATATTTCCCTTTATTTTAGAAATTCAATTTGAAATATATTTTTACTTTTTTAAAAAATTTGAAACTTTATTATACATCGATAATTTCATAACATTGAATTATGTTTACTCTTTTAAATTTAAATTCAAAATTTTAAAATATATCTGTTTGTTATAGATTCATGATAGATTGTCAAAACACATGTTTGATTGATAATGCAACTACACATACTATTGTTCAAAACAAAAAATATTTTTTGAACTTAATATTAACAGAAAATAATGTTAATACAATATCATGTGCATCGAATATCGTGGAAAGCTCAAGAAGAGCTTGTATTATTTTACTAAATAATACAAAATTATATATTGACGACGCACTTTATTCTAGCAAATCTAAAAGAAATTTGCTTAGTTTTAAATATAACCGCTACAATGGATATCACATTGAGACGATGAAAGAAAATAATGTTGAATCTTTTTGTATAACTTCTTTCGTATCTGACCAGAAACAGATAAAAGAAAATCTCCATGCACTCACATTTGACATGATCGACTTGGTTATTATATATTTATAAAAATGGTTGAATCAAATATTGTCACGAACCAAAAGTCCGTTGACCAAAAAAGTTTTATACCTTGACATGAACGACTTAGATATCCAAAGCTATAATGATGCATTGATCATAAACAACTCAAGTGGACATCCTTTAAAGAACTAGAAGATTATTTTACCTAATGATTATCAATGTATAGCTTTTTTGTAAGGCAAGTTAATCATTAGACCTTTAACTACAAAGATCAATATTAAATCTTCAAGTTTTTGGAAATAATTCATGGAGATATATGTGGATCAATACATTATTTTATGGTATTAATTGATTCTTCAACTAAATTGTCACATGTTTGTCTACTTTCCATTAGAAATGTAGGTTTTGTTAGACTACTTTTTCAAATCATAAAATTATGAGCTCAATTTTTCGATTACTCTATCAAGACAAGTCGTCTTGACAATACTGTGAATTTAGATTACAAGCATTCGATGATTATTATATGTCAATTGGAATTGTTATTGAACATTTGGTTGCGCGTGTCCATACACAAAATGACTTAGAGAGATCGTTTATTAAACGATTACAACTTATTGTTAGACCATTACTTATGAAAATAAAACTCTCAACTTCTATTTGGGGTCACGCCATATTACATGCTATGTCATTGGTTCGTATCAGACCAACTACCATTATCAATATTTACCTTTGCTACTTACATTTGGTCATGAACCAAATATTTCTCACATGCTGATTTTTGGTTGTCATGTCCAAGTCTCTATTTTACCCCCACAACATACTAAAATGGGTCTCAAACGAAGACTTGAAATTTATGTGGATTTTGAATCATTATCTATTATTATGTATCACGAACTTTTAACAGGTGATTTATTTACTGCACGTTTTTCAAATTGTCATTTTGATGAAATGACTTTCCCAACTTTGGTAGGGAAAAAACTATATCCTGAAAAATAAGGTAAAATTTCTTGGAATAAATTAATTATATCTCACTTTGATTCCTCCAACAATAAATGTGAGCAAGAGGTTGAAAAAATTATTCATTTGTAAAAGATTGCAAATCAATTAACTTATGTATTTGTTGATACAAGAAATGTGACAAAATCATATATACCAACAGAAAATATTTCAACAAAAATTGATGTCCCTAAAGGACAATTTGTTGTGACAAATGAATCTCAAATACACCAGAAGCATGGTTGACCAGTTGGTTCAAAGGACTATGTACCTTGAAAAAGAAAGGTACATGAGGAAAACCAATTAAAAACTTTAGAAGAAGTAACATTAGAAAAGATTGATCAATTGAATATTGAAAATATGGTTCCTGAATAACCACAAGTGTCCGAAAATAATGAGATTTCAATAAATTATATATTATCTCATAAATTAAGGGAACAAAATAATGTTGTTATAAACAATATTTTTGCATTTGACGTGGCTCTTGAAATTATGCAAAATGAGGATCATGAACCACAATCTGTTAAAGAATGTTAACATAGAAATGATTGGCTAAAATAGAAAGAAGACATGCTGGAGGAATTGAATTCCTTAAAAAAAATGTTTGGACATGTAATTCGAACACCTGAAAATGTAATCTCTGTATGATACAAATGGGTTTTTATATGAAAGATAAATGAAAATAATGAAATTACAAGATACAAAGCCCGACTCATAGCTCAAGATTTTTTACAAAGACCAGAAATTGATTATGACGAAACATATTCTTTTGTAGTGGACGCCATCACTTTTAAATTCTTAATTAGTTTGACTATATCATAAAGGCTTCACATGCGCCTTATGGATGAAGTAACTGTTTATTTGTATGGTTCACTTGACAGTGACATATATATGAAAATCCTCGAAGGACTTCAAGTGCCAAAAACAAATGATACACGTCCGGGAACCATATTCTCAATTAAATTACAAAGATCGTTATATGGATTGAAACAATCCGAAAGCATGTTGTATAATCGCCTCAGCGAATATTTGTTGAAATAGGGTTACAAAAATGATGATATCTACCCATTTGTTATTGGATTTACAATTGTGACAATTTATGTTAATTTAAATTTAATTGAAATTACTGAAGTATTCAACAAAACTGCGGATTATTTGAAAAATGAAATTGAGATGAAAGATTTTGGCAAAACTAAATTCTGCCTCAGTTTGTAGATTTAACATTTTTCATAATGATTATTTGGTCATCGATCTATATATACTAAAAATTTTTAAAACCTTCTATATGTATAATGCATATCAATTAGCATCACCTATGGTTGTTCAATCACTTAATGTGAAAAAAGATCAATTTCGTCTACTTGAAGATTGAGAAAAGACTACTAGTCATAAAGTATCATATCTTAGTGCAATTAGAATATTAACTTATCTTGCAAATTTCACTCGACCGGACATAACTTTTTCTGTAAATCTCCTTACAAGATATAGCTTTACACTAATTCAAAAACGTTGGAATGATATTAAACATAATTTTCGTTACCTAAAGAATATTATTGATTTGAGATTATTTTATTCTCAAAAGTCGGGACTACCTTCATGGTACGTGCAGATATTAGTTATCTCTCTGACCCACATAAAGATAAATCACAAACATAATATGTGTTTACGCATAGAGGAACAATTATATCATGGAGATCTGTGAATAAATATTTGGCAGCAATATTTTCAAATCATTCTGAAATTATTGCAATCCATGAAGTAGGTCGAGAATGTCTATGATTGAGGAACGTGATCCATCATATCCAAACATCATGTGGATTGACTTCAACAAAAGACAATCCAACAATTTTGTATGAAGACAATACTACTTATATTGTATAACTTAAATGAGGTTATATAAAAAATGACAAGACGAAATATATTTCTCCAAAATTCTTTTATACACACGAGCTTCAAAATAATGGCGACATCGATGTTCAATAAATTCATCCAAGTGACAATGTGACTGATTTATTCACAAAAGCATTGTCAACATCTACATTTGAGAAATTGGTTCACGAGATTGAAATACATCGCCTAAATCTTTCGGTGATCAATATCAGAAGGAGTATCTATACTCTTTTTCCTTTGATTAGGTTTTGTCCCACTGAATCTTCCTAACAAGATTTTAATAAGACAATATTTATCTTTAATTCTCCAAAATAATTGTACTCTTTTTTTTTTCATTTGATTTTTTTTGTCTTATTAGATTTTTATCAAACAATGTTTTAACGAGACATATATTTTCTAATATGTTATTTAAGGGGGAGTGTTGTAAATTGTAAGTTTATTAGCGAATGACAATTGTATCCCTATAACTCTAGAAATTATTACTTTTGTATCCCTAATCTTTCTCTATAAATATAGGAATTTTGTTCTCATTATAATACACAAAAGTCTATTGACTTATATTCTCTCATTTTTTTTTTTATCTCTTTTAACAACAGTTTTCTTATTTTTAGTATTATTTTAAATTTTTAATCATTTTAAATAATTTAATAATAACAATAATACATATCAAACATCTAAAATTATAAAATACTATATTTACTTAATAATTTATACAATTAGTCAATTATATAATTTTCAAGTTTTCGAAATGTAAAAATTAAATATTTTTCGTAATTTCAATTTTCTACTAGACATATTCTACTTAATAGATTTATAAGGAATTTCATAAATGCTTTTAGAGTTTGCAACAAAATAATGAGTTTCAATATCATAATTACATAATGTAGATAGTGTTGGGAATTTAATTAATCATGTTCAAAAAAATAATAATAATAATAGATATTGCCGTATATATGCATTGATTATATATAT